TTAGTTTATATGATGAGTGTGACTTCTTCGTGCTCCGCATACTCGTGTGATTGTAAATAAGGAATTTCCAGAACATCGATATCTACAGTTGATTTCTATTCATTAAGTCCGCCTATACCCTCTGTATGAAGCGTTGTCAGGAGTCAATCAATCAGACCACCCGAGCAGATTCGTCCACGTATTGCATGTGCAATATGCTGGTCATATAGCTCGATGTTCTAGACCGTTTAAAGGGGGTGTCGACCAGCTCTCACCCGATATGACTCTATGTTTTCCGCAACGAGACTTGCTCTTGGAAGTAAAAACCAGCTTGACTGGAATTATAACAGTTAACTGCTACCTTATACTGCGATGCTGACGATGTCATTCTCCACGTAAACCTGAATGCATATTACGGAGTCTCGTGTGCTCACCTTCACAGCTGCACCAAATTCTAGACAAACGGAGCTAGGTTTGCCAAGCAATGGCTGCTCACGGGCCTCTTATTTGACTTGTCAGAAACTTCAGTGTCGTTTGAACTCGCTTTTTTCTCCCCCAACGGCCTGCAGTGCACATTTTCCACCTCCTCCGGTGAGGGTCATTTTCAATTTTTAAGTCCGCTTACATGCACCTACATTACGAAGAGTTGTTTCTTTAACCAAAAGTGGAAGTTTTTACAAATTTTACGCATTCGAATATCTGTTACATATGCCCTTTAAACTAGTGTCTGTACAGTTCTGAGAACAGTTAAAACTCTGCTGACAGCATCTTCTAACTCCTTCCTCGTCCAGTGAAACCTGTCTATTTTTTTGATATATTGTGAGTTTAGTGACATTTCAGTGATCTCTTCGTTTCTTCAGTTTTGATGTCAATGTTTCATCTTTAGCTGGATCCTCATCATGTGTGCTTACCTGTAAATGGTCCCGGCTGTAATGGCGATGAATCCCGAAATCACCAACCTCGATGATCTCCGTGATCCATCGGGAATATTCGACCTTATCGAAGTGGTTGGCAAGGGCACCTATGGAAATGTTTACAAGGGCCGACACACACGTACGGGCCAGCTCGCCGCCGTTAAGGTTATGCCCATCACAGAAGAGGATGAAGAGGAAATTTTGCTGGAAATTAATACCTTACGCAGGGTAGGCAGATTTCTAAATTTTTCATTACAACCCACCCCTATGCAATCATCTTTCGCAGACGCATCAATTTTTCCAGAGTTTTTTGATCGTCTGTTTTAAAAATTCCATACTCCCTTGAGAGTCTGTTGTTGCCGCATTTTCTTATAGTCGGCATTTTCTTAATGCAAAACGTACATTTTTAGACCGTAGGAATTCAATTGTGGCATGTTAGGGAAACACCTATTTCCCGGCACATCTGTGGTGCCAACATTAGTTGCAAATAAACCTTTCAATTCCTTAAAGTTTTGGATATTCTTGCTGGAGGCTCCGTCTGGAACGTTTTACCAAAATTATTCTCTAATTCTAGACAATTTGCCTGCCTCTGACCAACCTTAAGTTACTTAACCCTACAACCTGCCTTTCTTCGTCTTATGAGCCAGTGTTGAGGGATCTTTCTGAACACCCCTGTCTTACCTATGCTTTTCAAGACCAAACTTTTAATTTGCGATGCCTTATTACAATATTTGACCAAGGATGTATTCGTCAGCGTAAAGCTTTTTCAAGCCTCGCACCTAACCTCTGTTCGATATTTAAAAAATCAAGCCCCCACGGCACCTACTACTACTACTCATGCTTCATGAGTCTTTGTTGTTGTGGCGCAGCCCGAGTCATCAGCGCTTGATAGCAAAATTTGAGGAGGCGTACTCCAGAACTTCGGGGCTTATGGATTGTTCCAACTATCAGC